TTAAAATTCAATCTAACGTGGTACAGCAGCACTAAAAGCATCAATAAAAACCTATACCGATTTGTTGCATATTCAATGGCAATTTTCTGCATGACAAAAATTTCAGAAAATAATTATTTCCACTGTAGCTTAATAGAAGCCAAGGTATTTTTAGCTTTTGCGTGTATACGACGAGGCTGAATAGGAAAATCAACATGTGACCTAACTTGCGCGCGCTAATTAACTGTGTAATTTCTGTCAAGGTCCGCAAACGAGTTAGATATCAAGTGTGGCAGCCAATGGAGGTAAAGAAGCGTAGGGCCGTGCGAGCGCGAAGTGTCGTTGAGATCAGTTCTACACGCTATTGTAACTTTAACGTGAAAGGCTGACCTAATTGGATGGGTGTGGTATGCCAACTATGCGAAATCGTTCCGCGCGTGACGCGATACTCGCCCTCGTAAGGCTATTTCGTCTGCCGAAGTAAAAATCGCAGGTCAAAAATCGCATCAAACACCGCGACGCAAATCTCACTTTCACGCCAGACTGCGAATTAGCGAGTTCAAGTAACGCGCGCGCTCGCGTTACTCGCAAAATTTAGATGTATGTACAAAGTAAATTTCATTGGAGAAATTGCGTGTATATCACGACGTGGCCTAATTGTATTCCGAGGGAGTGGCACACTCGCGACCCACTCAATGGTGCTTTTTCTTATTAGCGATGCTACCGCACAGACACGTATGCAGAAACGTGAAATAACGTAACGACCTCGTCGTTTGAGCAAGAGTGGAGAGCTCTGCAAACCGAACATAAGACACTTTTAACACTTCCCGTCAATTAAAATAACAAGTAAAGTCTTTTTACAGAATGTGAGCAAGAAATATTCTCCTCTCTATATATGAAGAGAATATATTGTAATCTTTTCTTCTTTTCATATACATTTTTTTTGATTTTACTATGTTTCTATATTGAGAGAAAAAATATTTAAAAAATATTCGCGGTGGATACTGATAACGCGGATTTACTTATACTAATATAAAATTAATATTCAAATAAGAAAATATGCATTTTCTTGAAACTTTAACTTTTCGTAAAAAAGCAATTTTATTTGTTCTATACAAATAAAGAAATTTAGACTTCTATTATATATGTGTGTGTATTATTATTAGTACCAACCCCAAATATTTGTATATATTTGTATATTTCTTGTCGTTTTAAACATTTTTTCTCTCAATGTAGTAATACTGAAATAGACTATCAGTAAGTTTTTGCTATATGGAACATAGTAAATCTTGCTAAAAACATAGCAAATTTTTTAATAACACATAAAATTAAAGAATAATAAATCACTACAAAGTGTTAATCTATTCCTCGAAAAACAGTAATTTTTACTATCAAACTCTCCGTGTATATTCTTTGTTTTATTTGATTCTCCCATTCTTTCACCAAATGCGAAATAAAAATATATAATGTTTGCTAAATTCCACGCTTTTCAAGTAGGGAAAATAAATAAAAAAATAAAGGAGAGAGAAAGAGAGGACTCTGTCTTTCTTTCTCCCATTCTGTGAGGAAGTCTCAACCATCATTTTAATTGAAAGAAAGAAACTATATTAATTATTCGTGGAAGGAGTTATGCAAACAAGATATCACTGAAACAACACGAAGTTCCGCGGCGCCCGCGTAACTATCGGCACTTGGCACCAACATTAGGATGAGAAAGGAGATCTAAAACGTTAAGGTAAATATCACAGCCCGCATCATCAAAGTCTCGTTTCGACGTCCAGCCAACGACCAACCGACCCGCAGCCAGCCCCGCTCTCGGCCGAGAGAAAATTTCGAGGACCCGTCTGCCGGGATGAATACCACGCGGACCGACGTGGCCTAATTATATTTCAAGGGAGTGGCGCTTCAGCCAGCCGAATGTGTCCTTATATCCTTGCCGGCTCACCGGAAGCTCTCACACGCTCGCGGAGGATCCTGCTCGCGGCGCAGGATCGAGCCTGCGTGTAACGCCGTAACGCCGTCTACGGTCGCCATGGTTACGCGCCGAGTTCTATCACCCCGCGCAACCCCGCCGTGGACCATCCCGGCCGCCGGGGGAGTGAGATGCAGGCCTTCAACCCTCTGTACCCGCAGCGCCGGGGCGGCTCCCGTGCGGCGCAGACGTTCGTTCCGGTTGACCCAGGTCGCGTGATCTCGCTGCGTGAATTTCTATCTCGATCGTCTTAAACACGTCGTCATCGTGTCACCCGACGTCGATAACCCTCGTCGAGAAGAGAATAGCCAATCGAGTCGGTCGGTTGAGAAAGAGAGAGAGAGAGAGAGAGAGAGAGAGAGAGAGAGAGAGAGAGAGCTGACTCGTGCTTGTGAGGTAGACTCGAAATGAATCGAACGTGATTATGGGAGAGGGTGCGTACCTTGAAACACGAGTGACCTTGAACGCACACCTGCAAACCGGAGCCGCGGCAGGTGGATTGATTGGCGCTGGAGAGGGTGGGCTCGCGGGAACTCTCTCTAATCATGCGGCGTGGTTGCGTGCGGCGCTTTGAAGGTTATCTGCGACACGCCGACGTGGCAAGTGCGTTTCATGGTTTCTGTTTGCTCGCGTATCGAGCTGATAAGCGGCTCGAGCACGAAGGCATAGAGGTGCGATAAAATTCGTGAAAAAAAAAGAAAACGGAAAAAAGTACAGCCTGCAATATGCGAATGTTTGCCGAGGAGAGTGGCGACGTAACCGGCAAACGGAAGCCCGAGGTCGAGAGAACTGAAACGAGAAGGAAAATGCGTGTTTTGCGTTAACGTCATGTAACATAACAAAATGTTCACAAATTAAAGAAATCTCTAATACATATATATATTTGTTATGTATTGCTGTTAATCTTCCTCTCTTGAGAGGAAGAAAGAGAGAAAGAGAGGGCAAAGATACATCGATAAGAAATCCAAGAATACACGATAAGAAATCTCCTGAAAAATTTTCGAAGCTCAATAACAAACTTCCCTGCTGCATTAAGTACAATTCGTAGTGGACATCGAAAATTCCATCTCACCAACACACAACAGACACACACATATATATCGAGTATGCGAACTACATACAACACAAAATACGAAAATGCTCAAATAACAATAAAAGAGTTCGAAACGATAACACTTCTACCTAATCTCGATGCAATAAGGGTCGAGTGTTTCGGCTCATACAACGTAGAGAGGAGGGGATTACGTTTACACGACACTTGACCCGGCTGCAGCGTATCGATGATCAGCGCATCGGGGAAATGCATTTGGCAACACACCGAGATGTTCGCGCCGGGAAAAAGAAAAGAGACGTGGAGGCGGTGGCCGGAGTCGCCGTCGCGAAGTGAGCGTGGCGCGCATCGTCGCGTCGGCACACGTGGTCGTTAGGGGTGTCTGGAATCCTCTGTTGCCGACAATTAAAATTAGGAATCGTACACGGGAGGCCCGCTTCAATAACAAACCGTGCAGGCTGCCCCGACTTTTATTGAGCACGGTTCTTTTTCACACCAACCGCAACGACGCTTCCGTTATGGGGCACTATTTTTGATTCCCTCTCCGATGTCGAAGACTTCACCGGAATCGGCAGCGCGATTGTTTCACTCGGGAGTATCATCGCCCGGATAAGAAGGAGATATTGCAAAGGAGTAAAGGGAAATTACTAGATGAAGATCCTCGGGAAGTCGACAATCGGCATTGTGTACTATTCGCGTTCTATTGTCGTTGTCGAGTTGTCCGACAACGGTTTGACGCCGATTCCATCGATTTCCTGAAAATAATATATGGAAAGTACGAATTGCGCGATAGCCTGGAGTACAATCTTGCGCATCGATGACGAGCTCGAACAGCAGCTCGCTGTCGCGCGCTTGGCTGCGAGCGAATTGCTGCCGTTGCGGCGACGCACGCCAAGACACCGCGAACAACAATTTTAAAGGCGAAACGCCGCTGCGGCAGGAGACGGAGACGCTTCTACATCGCATCGCCTTTACCGTCTGGCACACTGCCCTGCATATAGAGAGCGAGGTGCGTGCGAAAATCGCGCGCTTGCGTACGTAATGTGTGTGCACACGCGTCCGCGGTGTGGAGAGATATACTAGAATAAATAGATATCTTTCAGCAAATATTTCCGCAACTTCGTCTGTAGATTCCCCGACGACATGTTGGAGTGAAATTTTCCCTTGGCTCTAAAATTTCATCGGCCAATCTCGCGTTGAAATCGCGAAAGGCTCCGCACCTTTTGAACGATATTGGAAATCTGCAAACACGAAAGTCTCGAGTGAGCTTTCAATTTTAACTTTTCTATGATACCACCGCGATAGACAACAGTTCCCTCTTTAAATCTAAACGAGTTCGTTCTCTTTCCTGCGCGCGCGTATGTATATGTATCCATATGTGTATGTGCGATATATGTGCAGCGTGCACACATACCACGATCGTCCAATATAAAATATTTAATAGGCTTTAGGTGGTTTGCATCAATATCGATGGTGCAACTTGTTTTTTTCCTTTCGACGCGAGTATTGAACGCAATGCCGCTGTTGCAGCACCTGTCGTTGCATAATTTTTCTCGCCGCAACGACAATAGAAACAACTTAGAGTGAGCGTCATTAATTTCGAAACAATGAACAATAATGTCACCTACCTCACTTGAGACAACGCCCAAGTAGCGAAGAGAATAATAGTGTTTTCTGTCGAATAGAGAGAGAAAGTTAATGAGACATCTATTGCTACTCTTCATATTCAAACGCGGAAGCAAAATAATACTACCGCGACGTTATTTTATAAAATAGACAAGTTTTTGTTTATTAATATGAAGACAATTATCAAGAAGTTTACTGTTAATTTAATATTTAGCTATTTTAACATTTAATACATATGACAAAGGAAATCGAGTTTGTGTTATTTGCGATTGTGTAAATCATTATAGACTTAATTCATTCTTGCATATTATTCAGCATATCAGCGTGTGTGTATGTGTATGTAGACTAATCACTTTCTACTTTTGATTACAGCACAATGGCGGTTATGAAACACAGCCGAAAAATGTCAACAACATCGCGAGGAGCAAGCAGCCGGTACGTATTTACATTTCAAAGCTTCTACACGAATCTATTTCGATACAAGTACAAAATGTTTTCTACCGTTATAACAAATAAGATTTTATTATATCTTACTTCTGACCACACACAATGGTATAAGGATTAAAAATCGATTAATTACTTCTCGATTAATTACTTCTCGAGATTACACTCGACAAATGTGAACGCGTAGCCCCTTGAAGGATTTTTTCTCACGAGCAAGACACCAATCCTGCAGTTCATCGGCTGCGATGAGAACTCGCGATTTTGCTTCTCTAAATATTTAATATTGATACAATCTGTGCGCGCATGTGTGCGCTACATGTGTGCGCGCATACTACCTGTTATACACACGAACAGAGAAAGGACTTTTGTCCATTGTTTATTTACATCGCGAAAGAGAGGACAGTGGCGAGACTGCGCATACGCATTCGATATGGAGCCGATGCTCTCGTTCCGAGGACTGCTTGTCCTTTCAGACAACGTTCCGTCGTCCAAGCCGCCCGGAATTATTCCTGACGATTCATCGTGCGCCCGTTCGGATCGACTAGCCGCTTTCAAAATGCAGAAACTGGAGGACACGTGCGTGACCTTTCCGAAACGCTCAACTTTGGAGAGCGCTCGCCCCGCATTCAAATGGAAATACTATCTCTTTGTGTTATTCCGTTCCGCTTGCCTTTTTTTATGTTCTCTCTTCTGTTTTCTTTTGCTCTGCACCCTTTTTTGTACACCGGAAATTCTATGCCGCGAGCCGGCTGGTTTTATCCGCGCAACGACATCAAAATAATTATTTACGCTGCGCGCCGGCGAGAGGCGGGCGAAAGTTCGCGGCGATGTCGCGTTCCGCGCGCGGAATGTAGATTTCTGTAAATGAGCGCGCGCCGCGAGATTTGATTGTATTGGCGATTTAATCCGGGAAATGGCATTAAAACGGCACGGTCAATCCACGATAGCCATAATTGCGCGGATCAAAATGAGACACGCGCGTTACACCAACCGCCACTTATAACGTCGATGGAATAACCTTCTATTAGCGTGCGGCTGTGCGAGGGAATACTAATATCCAACCAGCAATCAGTACGCTAATTACTCGAGTCCACCGCTCTTAGGATCGACCGGTATCTCCCCTTCCTCTCCTCCTGCTCTCTTCGCCCACCTTCTCCCTTCCTCTCCCCGCTTGTTTACTATCCGCCAAGCGAAATCGGTTCGCGTAAATCAATCCACGTGACAAGTACGCGGAGATACCTATCTGCCGCGTCGCGGCCAAAGTCTTTCTGGGCGTTATGAAAGTCGTAGTGAAATATCCTGCTGGGAGTTTCAACTCTCGGCGCGTCTCGGCCGTTTTCGCGCAAACGACATTGTCGCCGGGAATTGCCGGCTGAGATTCTGATGAAACGATGCGTTACTCCCAAAGAAAGGAAGTCTATCTGCAAGCTGTTTCCGGCAATCTCATATTCCAAAACGAAAACCTTTGCTGAGATTTCTCTTCTAATAAAATGGACTATTAACTTCTTCAGCGGTTATTCAAAATAATTTCCCCCAGGACGAGGTTCTTTTTCAAACACGAACATATCTAGGTTTCTTTTCTCTTTTTCTTTGCTATTTTCTCTGAAGAATTCTGAAGAATTGAAGACAAAATGTATCTAATTTGTATTTGCTATGAGTTAAACACAGATATACAATAATTTAAGTAAATCGAAAGGAATTTAATATTTTACCGTGAAGCTTTAGGGGTTAATCGAAATTCTATTATACATATAGGATCTAATATAGATTATACATATTACAGATGTAAGAGAAACCTATTAGATACTATCCAAACTTTCTTGCTTTTGAATTAACGCTAGAGTATGTTTATTTCAAATAGAATGCCCTCTTATGAGAAACGCGACAGGCAAGACTTGTTCCGTAGATAAGAGCCGAAATTTTTTTAATTTTAGGAAAGTTGTATTTAGAATATTTTCCTCCTCTCTATAGTTTCTATAGAGAAAAATCCTCTAAGAACCATACACAGACAGAATATTAGTGAGCTTCTCTTTCTGCTAATCAAAATAGCGAAGATGGTCTAAGAGGCGACGATTCGCATTTTTTCGGCTCGCAACGCTATCTGTGGTCGACCAATGGAGCGCGCTAAGCATCAAACTGAATTGATTAATAACTCGTCAATAACTGCTCGTATTAAAAAATGATAAGGAACTTTTCGTTTCGGTTTGACCTCTACTATCTGATATTTAAATATTTGGCAATTGTGAGACACGTTGTAAGAATGAAATCCTCTAGGGTTCAAGGAATTCTGCTAAAGAGAAGATAATACTTTTTTGAGTGTACGTCGTTGAACCGACGATGGTATCGACGTTTCGTCGCAATATCGAGTAAAGTGCGTCGCTGTCAAGTGGATAATTATCCGTGTGACTCACGATAAGTATTCGTGAAACTTCGCATTTATCTACGCACATACGACGTGAAACATATTATCGTGAAAATGTGTACGCGTGCGAAACAAACGAACGCGTCCTCGCCTTTGCCTTTCTTTCACGATATAAGTAAATAATAGACAAGGTCTTTTTTCTGCCTGTGTATAACAGATAATTATACACACATGTAGTACAGGTAATTATACACACATATAATACACATTGTATCAATATTAAATATTTAGAGAAGCAAAATCGCGTGTTTTCATCGTAGCTGATGAACCGCGCGACAAGATATAGGACAGGGTTAATCTTGCTCGTGGTAAAAACCCTCCAAGGGGCTGTGCGTTCACATTTGTCGACAAATGTCGCTCGACGATTGATCACTTCTTTCTTGCGCGTAATAGTTGCTTGCAAAACTACAGTCGTTCTGTTTCTATTAATAATGCCTAACTATTTTACATATTATAGTTTTTTTTCCATAGACTTTTACGGACACAATTGCTATTCACATGCAATGTCTCTTTCGTGATAGGAAATAATCAACACGATTAATGTCTCACTCGGCTTAATAACGTTAATTAATTGCGCGGATCCGTCGCGGAAACTGTCAGTCGCGATTACATCACATTTACGGTCGTAAAGAATGGTGAAGGTGAAACGCGATGGAGGCAGTGATAATTATACGGAATGGCAATTAGCGTGCAGTAAAAACTGTTGCGCAGCTGTTATCGCGTTTGTTCTTATTTCCGTGACATTGAGAGCTGCCGTTGGTCATTTTTGTTCCGCCTACTGCGCCGTATTTTCGCCTGTTACGCCTAAAGTCCGTACTGTAAAAACAACGTGATTTAACAGCAATTTTCTTTATTCTTTGAAAATAAAGAATACTGTTCGAAATTTATCGGCGAAGAATTTAGATCGTAACATGTTCTTCGTTCGGAAAGTTCTCACCCTCCGTACCAATCTTCCCTTTCGTTGCAAATTAAGCGCAACACCGATTCGTTCCGTGATAATGTACCATAGCAATGACTTCCTGGTGAAATGCTACGGCCCCGATTAAACGGCAAGAACGTGTTACCATTATCAGCCTTCAGACACAATCGATGGAGATTAAACCCACTCGTTCGAGAGAGCACCATACTTCCAATTAGAAATTAACCGCGAGCAATTACGTGGATTAACAGTAATTGACATTAGTGGCGCGGCTTGCCGCGTACATCGGCTTCTCGTCCCGGTAATCGCACTGGATCAATGGCTGGAGCGATAGTTACAGTTCCATTTTTAAGTACCCGCATTACGGATTCTCAGTTTCCCAGATATCTCCTGAAATCCTTAAACTTCAAGATCCTGCGACGAATTAAAATACCTGAACAATCTAAGTGCTAGCAAAGTCTCAAAAGCGCGTTAAATATTTTACTATATTATTGCATTATATTTATAGTACATAGAAATATATCATATATAATATATACTATATATAGTATAATATTATATATTATTATATTATATAATATATAATATTATATAATATATTCTTATAGTACATTTTATACAATGATAATATACAATATAATATATTGTGATATTATTAGAATATATTATATTATAATATAGTAATATTAGATTAGATTATAGTAATTAGATTATATTATAGTAATATAGTAAGATTAGAATATATTATATTATAATATAGTAATATTAGATTATATAATACCATAACTAATACTACCATATTACTATATTATCTATACGGCAATCCATCTTACTGGCATCCTCGGATCCTACAATCTCGCTGACTTTCTCCATTTCAATAATCCATCCCTTATGAGACTTCAGTTACAAGCCGGCGACTTCGCGACTTATTTTTGCCAAGGTCTGAGAGCGAATAACCAATATCCTCGATTCGTCAGACCCCTGTTGGTCAAAGGAGGCGAGTCTCGGCCGATTTTGTAATCCAACGTGAAACGCTGAAGGACCTGATGGTGGACGGGCGGTTTCCGCGTAGCGACAGCTGCGGTAGGACCGCGCGACGTAATAGCAATTTCACACGTGAGCCTAACGGCCGAAGGGATTTATGGGCGGGTAGGCCTGGTTGCATGTGTCCCGCGAGAAACGAACTCGCGGCGTTATGATCTCATAAAGCCAAGTATTTTTAGAGGTGCCCGCCTCGCTCTTGTTTTCTCGCCCCGCTCGTTCTGCTCTCTTTTCCGCGACGCACCTTCATTGTTGCCCGTCTCGTATATTTCTGGAACTCGGTTACGAATAGTCCGACGGCTCTCCTTCCTCACCTTTTCGTTCCCGCGCATACCTTTGCCTTCCAGTCGTTTATTCCGGATTGGCTTGTATATTGTATCTCAGAAACAAAAATTCAGCATTAGAGAGATTTAACGTGGAAAAAAAATAGTTTGATCGAATCAGTAAATCTATAGTTCGCTAGGCAAAATTGAACGTCATAACTAAACACAGAGATAGTGTAGCCAGAAAATTATGTATGGAAACAATTATTAACCTGTTCACAGAGCAAGCCCACTTTTGTTAATTTAATTGTTATCTTAGTTGCTGCAACAAATTGTTTCGTATTTCGAGCTGATTGAAATTTACGAAATAAATTCATCGATTTTGCCAAACATTTATTTAATAGCTAATGAAAAATATTTTTGTTTGTTTTAATCGGAGAAGTGTAATCCCATTAAATCTGAACGCAAATGAGTCCGTAATGAGAAATATGTTATTATACATTGTGCAAATTAGAAATTTTCCTTTTTAACAACTACATGTATTTATGATATATAATACATTAATATAAATTATATATATCTTTATGTATATGTACATGTATTTTTATATTTATATGTATTTTTATATTTATAATATTTTATTGTACTATTTGAGTGGTTGGAAGAAGTAAATATTCCAAAGATTTCAAAAAGCATTATTGCTTTAACTAACTTCTATTGTTGGAGCAACTAGTTACTTAACTATAATGAAATCCACTAATATACCAAATTTCTTTTGATACAACGATAAAAAGGTTAATCGCGTATACCAAACTTTATTTTCAACTGGTTGTGGTGGAGAATTGTCTTCTCTGTAGTAACAAATCTGCCGTAATATAATGTCAAACTTTGTGTTAGGTGCAACCACAAATCTTATGTGTTATAGTTCTGCGATTTAGTTACTGTAGCATAGCAAACTGTGCGTCCGTATATTACGACTACAAATTAGCTAAGCTAAAGTTTCCAGTTGTAACAGCAAATCTCTCTTTTTATTCTGAACATTTTGAACATTTCTAAACGTTAGAAATTTAATATTTCCATTCCATCAATATCTCATGGATGGCAAATGTTTTTTTTTTTTAGTTTCTTAATCATTTCATTATTTTTGTGCTTATTTTTATTTGTTTTTGTATGTCATACTTATTTCAATACTTTCTCTGCCATTACTCTATCCAAGTACCGTCTGTTTCTCTTATCTTTTCTTTTAATCTTACCTTTTGTTATTACACAAAATAATCCGTAGATACAAATACCAACGGATTACGGTAAAGCGCAATGACGAGTGCAACTGCGCCGCAAGCGCCTCGTTCCTAACGCCACAATTAGTCGTAACACCGTAGTCCAACATACAAAGACTGAAACTCGGCTTGAACCGCTTGAAAGGGCCAAGCAGGGAATCGTTGAATACAGTCGGAAATTATGTGCACATTAGTACGGCAAAGCCAGCCTGTCAGACTTACGGATTACGTTGCGTCTGCTGAACGGTGGATTATCTACAATTCGGATAAAATCCCTTGACGGGACACGCGGGATGAGTGGACGGGGCAGATAACAAACAACGTACGACTGTAATCCCGTATAAATCAGGCGAATAATTTTAACAAGTGCCATCAATAACGGGGGTAAGGTATCAGCGGCGATAGTACCTCGACCGTCCGATAAATGACTCTCGGTTAACCGGCCAAAGTACTCGCGGATGCTATCCGGCGAGGAAGAAACCGCAAGAGGTCGCAAAAAGCACAGCTACATCCGGCTCGTTTGCGCGCGTACTCCTCCGTGTAATTTTCGCACGTTCCCCGCGACAAATCATCCGTTCGCGCAACGTCTTCCGCAACGCGTCGCGTCTCCCGAGGCTCGTGGCATCGTATTAAGCACGACGATCCAGCACGGATTACGGCTCGACTGGCAGTGCAAATAGCGTGACTTTGATTCCCACCGAAGTCACGCTACCTGCACGAATTCGTTACATCACACGTGCACGCGCGAGCGCGCTCTCTCATCCACGTCCAGGGCCGCGCGGCGACGAGATGTATTCGCGTCGCAGGATAATCGGGAAATTTGCGATGAGAACGAGCTATCCGGTTCTTCTTCGACCGGGATGATTTACAGACCGTGAAGAGACTCCAGCTAAAAAAATTCAAGGTATCACTTCGAGGGGAGGAGACTACTCGTCAAACGCACGACATCCCAGAACATCGCGATGCGACATGTGCCACGTGCCGATAGAACGCGCTTTCCTTTATTAATGACAACTGTACACTCGTAAAAAATATTTAAGAATTAAGAAATATTTATTTAACGAGAACTAATAACATATTTGTTTCCACTAATATAAGATATTTTTTAAGTAAGAAGATATACATTTTCTTACAACCTCAACTTTTCACGAAAGCAATTGTTTGTTCTGTTTAAATAAAAGTATTTCAATTTGAGTTATTAATATTTATAGTAAATATTTATTAGTATCAATCAAATAAATATTTTTTGGATTTTCTTTCTCTCAGTGTAATAAATGAAGCACACAATCTGTGTGTGTGGAATCGCGATAAGAATCGTGTTGTACATTTCGGGGGTGACTTCTCGTGAGAAGTCATCACCAGGGTAGCGATTGTGTAACTTTTTCACAAGAACGGAAACATGAAAAGTGACAAATGTTTCACGTGAACTCGACAACTCGAGTGATCATGTAATTCCTCGAGCAATGGAAATGTAAAAATTTTCACGCAAAACTCTTCACTTTTTACTAGTCCACGCTGAGCAAAAAGATACACGGTCGATACGCGGCAGTGTGACCTAACGAAGTCACTTAATAATCGCAGCGCGGAATCGAGAAACCAGCTGGTGACGCGCGGCTTGGATGACGACACGCGAATAAATGTCGCGAAATGTATCCGACGAGTGCCGGCCCTGGCAAGCTGGTGGCACACGTCAGACATACACGAACAGAAGGCGGCGCGATTATCTGACAAAACCGCCGACCGGCCACTGGATATTCTCGCGTATCTCCAGGAGAACCAGGCGAAACACAATACCCGGCAGTGTATCGTTCCACGGCGAGGAGTACGGCGCATCACCCTGAGACGTATCTTCGCGTTCCGTCTCTCGCGGCCGTTCCCGTTAAGGTGCCAGGATTACATGTCGATCTATCCCGCGATAGCGTGTCCTCCGGACCTCGCGACACCGCCATGTCGGAGAACATCATCGTCAGGATCGTCTACGCGCCCAAGTACTCCAAGGTGGATGGAACTAACTTCGCGCGTTGTGAATTAATCGCCAGCCGCGCCGTAGATTGCTTTTGTAAATCCTCGAGAATTTCTTAATTATTCGCGCAGTCGTTCGTGAAGTGGTGGCTGTAGTGAGGTACATAATTGAAGTGGCAGTGAGTTCGATCGACGCCGATTTAATTCGCTCGAGAAGCGCGTAATTATATAAACAGGAATTAAAAAATTATAATAATTTCAAGGTCACATTATTCGTACATAAATATGTATTTAATGTGTCTTTCGAGATTGAAATAGCAAATATATTTTTTTCGGTATTGTTTCGTTCTTCCCAGTGGAATGTCTTGGTATTACGTATCGTCGTAGAACTTGTTTCTGTAAAACTCCGCGAATTTACTAATTATCCGTATACTTGTTTGTGAAAAGAAAGAGTGGTGGCTGTGTGAGATATATAATTGAGCATCAAAAATAGTGATTTAAAAATATTTTTACATTAATATACATTCAATATGTCCTTTAAGACTGAAATAGCAGAGATTTTTTTCCCGGTATTGTTTCGTTCTTCCCAGGGAAATCCTGCTATTACCTATCGTGTATACTTGCTCACGCAAATTACATATATCGAGGCTATTAGAGGGAAAACGATGGAGAACGAGGAGAATTCGTAAGCAGTGACTAAAGAAAATGAGTTCTGTCTTCTACGGAGAAAATTTGATTGTCTGCCGCGACATTGTTTTGTAAGAGGGAACTAAGCGGGAGTCAGAAACAAATCTTGCGGAAAGGTTTCCGGATAGAATCGAGTGGAGCGGAGCCACTTGAGATGGAATTTTCTTCTCTCAAACGAATTTAGACGATCCAATTTGCTAAGAATGAAACAGACGCGTCATTGGAAATAAACTCTGCTTTTTATTTTGTCACAGTGGTAAAATATATGAAAGTTGGAAAGTTCAGAAAAGTCATCCTTAGAAGTCGATACGACCTGTTGTGATTATACTTTCCTGACCATTCCAGTCGAGATTCTGTGCGATCCTACTTTCGATCAAATATTCTATTTAACACCTACTTTAATACTCTAAGTCCATATCAGTTTTTTCGATTTTTTAATCCAATGACGCTACTAGCTTTGCTAGGATCCTCTTTAGAATCTACATTTTGTACGTTTTCTGTCAATTTAAAAACGTCAAATAGGATTTTAGTTTCCATATATATTATAAACATACATTGATTTTTCAGAATATTCAAATGTCGAAAAATCCAGCTTGGAAGTGAGGCTAAAATTTTGACTCGAGTATTTACAAATATAAAAATGTCTCTTCTGTAAAGGATAAATTATTTGTTATGAGCACTGAGAGAAAAAATATTTATTCGATAAAAAATATTAATCTAGAGAGCAAAAAATATTTATTCGATACTAGGAAGAATATTTACTCGATATTTATTCGATAGATATTAGTAACATATTTATTCATATTCATGTATATTTCATCATGTACATTTCATATTCATGTATATTCATCAATTATATTTTTAATGTTGAAAACAAATTTTTTTAATGAGGAAATTGTTCTATTTAAATAAAAGAATTTAGATTGAAGTAAATATGTTATTAGAAGTCAAATAAATATTTCTTATGTTTTGGATATTTTTACTTTCGGTGTACGCGTATTATTCTAAATGCAAGTTATCATTGCAATGTCTATACGATTCGGTTTCGATGTTGCCTACAATATCCGAAAGTGCTACGAATTATCCGATCGCTCAATTCGAGTAAACCGTCGGATTACAGATGCAGACGTCAGCGCTGGCGTCAACGCCTGCGAGGACGCCGGGCGTCGGCGCGGATTCGACGATGACGGGACCGGGAAAGGGCGGAGGTCGCGTGACGGAGGTGATGGAGCTCTGTTACGTCACCGAGAGGATCATCGCCCTCTGGTACAGGGAGGATGCGCAGGGTGTCCTCGAACACGCCACGACTCTTCTGCGCGGGAAACACGCCGACAATTACATGGTGAGAATCCCGATAATCTCCGTATCCCTTTTCTGTCGCTGCTTTTTTCTTCAGCATAAAGAGGAGGGAGTATCACGCATTGAAGATGAAAATTACAGCGTGGGTAATTGAATATGAACATAGTATCCTTGTCTACTTCTTATCTCGCACGGACACAATATTATCCTGAAACACCATTTTAATAATTTGTGATAGATAACTGTAAAGTTCTCGATTTTTCATTGTAAACCCTTTAATGAAATTCTGGTATTGGGATTCCGTAGAATCTATCTGTGATTGCTCTCTTTCCCTCCAAAAAGTTTGGCAATTTTCTTCAAGTGTCGAACACCTTGGTCTTTCAGATCTTTAATTTGTCGTCGCCCGGGCGACCCGGCGAACCGAACACGAGGGAGGCTGGATGGCCGCAGGGTTTAGCACCAAGCTTGGAAAGACTGTGCGCCCTTTGCAAGGAGCTGGACTCCTGGCTCAACGGCGCTTCTAATCGCGTCGTTGTCCTGCACGCCAGGTGAGTTTACGACTTTCGCTCTGCTCGTCCTCCCCCCCCCCCCCCCCCCC